TTCTTCTTGGTCCTCTCTTGTGAGAGCTAATGCTACATGTCTTTTAAATTCACCAATCGCACCTTCAGAGACTTAAGTCAACAATTATATGTTCAAAAATCTTTGTTTTCCCTTTGAAACTGGATGCAAAAAAGAAATCTCTCCTGTCGGTGGAGACAGCTGTGAATGAACGAGGTGCCTGCACATAAATCTCCTTAAACTTTTTGAATAACTGCTTCTCTTTATCCCACTGGTAGATCTGGGAGAACGTATAGTCACTCCCCAGGGCCAGGTAGTGATTATCTTTAAAAGAAAAGGGCTGCAGGGTCATGGCCCCCCGTGATGGGAGAGCCTGGATCTCCACAAACTGCTTACTGTTCCACCTCATGACCCTGGAGTCCCCAATGAAGCGGGTGAGGGACAGGTAAAGCGTGTTCTGCATTCGGAAGCTCTTCACAGCCAGCACGTCCTCCATGTTGGGAATGTCACCATGGGGGACAAATTTCTTGGAGCTTTTGTTCCACTGGAGGATGATGGGGACCTGGGAGCGGCTGGACAGGATTAGATGCGACTTCCCATCTATGTCAACAAACTCTGCGTCTGTGTCCCTGAACCACTCGTGCAGGGACTGGTAAGAGTAGAATCCTTTGCTGTTCCACTTATAAACCGTTGACAGGCCAGCTTTAGAGCTGTCTGCAATGACAAAGAACGTCTCGTCGTCAATCTGAAACAGCTCGATGTCATTGGGCTTGGAAATGCGAGAGACTTCTATGTCTTGGAATTTGACAAACTTGGTCCAGCTCTCATCATATTTGTAAATGTGAGAGCCACCGAAGAGCTGGGCCACCACCACAAAGACCTGGTCATCAATGAGGATGGCCTTACAGCCCACGATGGACTGACCTGTGCTCCAAAAGAAAGGAAAGGGGATTAGTGTGGCTACCATTAAAAATGCACCTCCATAGTGAAATTGGAAGCCTCGTGTGCTGCTGGTGGGAATGTAAAATGGTGCGGCCACTATGGAAAACAGTAGAATTACTGTATGATCCAGCAATTCCACTTCTTGGTATATACCCAAAAGAATTGAAAGCAGAGACTAGAAGAGATATCTGTACACCCAATGCTAAAGACCAAATGTTTGTGTCCCCCCAGAATACAGATTTTGAAACCTAATCTCCAATGTGATGGTATTTGCATGTGGGGTCTTTGAGAGGTGTAGTGGATTGAATTATGTCCCCCCAAAACTCGCTTGAAGCTTGAATTGTGTCCCCCAAGTTTTATGTATTAGAAATTTGGCCCCTACTGTGGCTGTTAAGAGGGTGGGAAATCCTATTATGATAATTAAAAGGTAGAGCCTCAAAGAGGCAATTAGATTGTAGGACCATGCCTTAGTGAATGGATTAATAATGGTAATGAGGGGCGTGCTTCTGAGGGCTTTAAAACAGAGTGAATGAGGAGCTTAGTCTCTGTTCTCTCTGCTTCTGCCGTCTTGCGATGTGAGACCCCTGGGTCACTGTCACCACCACCAGATGTGTTCCTTGGACTTTGGACTTCCAAGCCTCCAAAACCGTAAGCAATAAATATAGTTTTTCTTATAAATCACCCAGTTCTGTGTATTTTGTTATAAGCAACAAAAACAGACTAGCACAGGAGATTATTAGGTCATGAGGGTGGAGCCCCCATGAATGGGATTAGTGCCCTCATAAAGAGACCTCAGAGAGGTCCCTCTGCTCTTCCACCATGAGAGGACACACCAAAGACAGCCAGCTATGAAGTGGGCCCTTGCCAGACGTGGCATCTGCTGGTATCTTGATCTCAGACTTTCTAGGTTTCAGAACTGTGAGAAATAAATTTCTATTGTTTATAAGCCACCCAGTCTATGGTATTCTGTTACAGTAGCCCAAACAGACTAAGACACCCACATTCATAGCATTATTCACAACAGCTAAAAAGTAGAAGCAACCCAAGAGCTCATCAGTGAATGAATGAATAAACAAAATGTGATACATACATTCCATGTAATATTATTCAGACTTAAAAAGGAAGGAAGTCCTGACATATGCTACAGCATGGATAGAAATAAGCCAGTCACGAAAAGATGAAAAAAGACAAATACAGCATGATTTCACTTAGAGGAGGTCCCTAAAGTAGTCAGATGTATGGAGACAGAAAGTAAAGGGACAGTGGCAGAGGCTGGGAGAGGGGAATGAGAACTTGCTGTTTAATGGGTACAGAGTTTCAGTTTTTCAAGATGAAAACAGCACTGGAGATTGTCTGTACAACCATGTGAATGAACAGTAGGCTAAAAATTGGTTAAGATGGTAAATTTTATGTTATGTGTATTTTACCATAATTAAAAAATTTTTTAAAAATCTTTTAAAAATGTGCCTCCTTAGAAATGGGTAGGTATGTGAGGTCGTCAGGGTCTGTGCAATCTTCAGAGTCTAGCATACAATTCAAAAAAGTCACTAAGACACTAAATGAACTGTCTTCATGCTATCCAAAAAAAGTATATAATCAGCTCGAGTTAGCCATTCGGCAATGTATACATATTTCAAAATAAGTTGCATGCAATAAATACATACAATTTTTGCCAATTAAAAAAGAGTATTTCCTGACTCTATATGGCAGAATGAGGCAATTACATGGGCTCCTTCTCTTGGGGGGTACGGGGAAGTAAAAAAGTGGGAGTCAGGTCACAGAAGTGGGAGAAAAAAAATCTCCAAGGTCTTCGAAGAACTTTGGACTCTTCTGATTTCCAGGGCCAAAGGAAGATGAGTGGAGGCAGAACAGAGTAGTGTCTAAACCTTAAGATCAGGTGGCTGAGGTTCAAAACCCAGCCCTGCACCTCGTAAGCTTTCTGGACCTGTGCCCGTTACCCCAACCCTCTGTGCTAAAGTTTCTCATCAATAAAATGAGATGGATGATGTTACCAGTGCTGACCGTACAGGGTGACTGCAAAGACTAAACAAGATAATTCAAGTCAAGCATTTTTAGTTCAGAGCTACTGGCTGGTTAACAAGTAGTACTATCATTATTGGATAATTGAAGCCATTGTCTCGATCATCAAAAGACCTTGCCCCTCGGTGCTTGCCTAGGCACCGCATAAATACCTACAGAATGAGCGACAGTGTACGTGGTCTAGCTCTGGTGTCACAAAACTAGAACTTTGCAGGGAAAGGGGACCATTTTCAGTGGTGACTGTCCTCTCTGGGTCACCTTCTACCATCCTCTCCCACTGCCCCAGACCCTCCCCAAATTGCCCATTCTAGAAGACTAAGCAACAAGCAAGAGGACCACTCACATCTAAAAGACTACTGACCCTCGATCTAGATCATTCAATTACAAGTTATTTCTTTCCCTTAATTTTCTAGGTGAATTTGGTCTGCAAATTACCAGGATAATTACCCAATTTCCGTCCTGAGGATTAAGTTTAGGGGCAGGCAGTGAGTGGTTTTCAGAGTGGTATTTACTTTTTTTTTTCACTGTTTTGACCTCCCTGCAAAAACCTGATCCCTTTCCTTTCTTTAAAACAAATGATTGTATTTTTGTTTCTGAAGATAAAAGTGTTAAATGTTCACCAAAGCAAATTTTGAAAATAGTAATAAGTAAAACTTAAGTATGTACTAATGATCAGGCAGTACTCTCAGTACTTAATATATACTTACTCATTTGATCCTTACAACAACCATATAAAGCAGGTACTACTCTTTTCATCATTATTCTCATTTTACAAAGGGTGAAGCTGAGCCACAGAAAAATTAAGCAATTTGTACAAAGTCACACTGCTAGTATGTGGTAGACCCTGGGATTCAAATCCAGGGAGTCTGGCTCCAGTCTACTGTCCACCACCAAAGTACTAAAAATCACAAAGAAGAAAACAAAACCATTTGTACTGCAAACATAAAAGAAATATCTTGATATATTTCTTTGATATTTAAGCTGTACACATATTCAAATATGCTTCTTTAAAGATAATCAGGGCTTATACTACAGATACACTTCTTATAAACTACATTTTTTTTTCATGTGACCCCTATGTTGTGAACATTTTCCCATGTTTTTGAATCTTCTACAACTTGATTTTTTTAAACATCACATAGTATTCTATTGCATAGATGCACCACATTTTATTTAACTAATCCCCCACTGTTGGACATGGCAGTTATTACTAGCTTTTCATTATTATTAAATAACATGTTTCTCTTAACATATTTTTGTTTGTTTGTTTGTTTTTTTTAAAGATGACCGGTAAGGGGATCTTAACCCTTGACTTGGTGTTGTCAGCACCACGCTCACACAGTGAGCGAACCGGCCATCCCTATATGGGATCCAAACCCGGGGCCTTGGTGTTATCAGCACCACACTCTCCCGAGTGAGCCATGGGCCGGCCCTTAACATATTGTTAAACAACATGTTTTGAAACCAACTGGCAGTGTTCCTTAATGTATGAATTGCTGATACAAATGTTGTGTACATTTTTAAGGCTTTTGGGTTTAAATTGCCAAACTGCCCTGCAAAAGTTGCGTGGATCTCCACCCTGCCAACACTGATTGGGAGTGCATGCTCCTCATCCCTTCCTGAGTGGC